TCGATCCCATTCTTGAAACTGGGCATAGTGATAGGTAATCTATAGGACACCCCTTCCTATCTAAGCTCGGAGGATCAAATTTAGTATCCTAAAAAGGTCGATTGGAACAGTTGGTAGAGGAATTCGTCAAGCAGTTTTCTTGAAAAGAAATGGCAAGTTACCTCTCTGTCAGAAGCAAATTCCCCATCCAGAGCTATACACAAAGGGTGAACCAACCCACAGAAAAGATGAGAGTGTCATTCTTGCCACCAGGAGTCAAAGAGAGTGGAAGAGAAGCTGACTCTGATCCAGTCATGCAAGCAAAGGGAAGGAAGATCTGATCCCAGTTGGAAAACTCTAGAGACTTTCAGTACTTCACTAATATCCTCTCTTGGCCTCAGTATATCCTTAAAGAAAAGTTGAGGAGGCAATTGACCAAGACCAAACTGATGAGCTACAAAAGAGGGGTTGTAAAATTCATAGGTTGGAAGGTTGTCTGGAAGGGTGGAACCCATAGCCATTTTGCCACGACCATGACGAAATTTGGCTGGAAGGACGTAAGGCTTGATAAAGGAATTAAAGATTGCAGCCGCTGTCTCATCCGAACAACCTGATTCAAATCGGAATTTGAATGGGAAGATCAACTCATTGTTTTCATCCTCATCGTATGGTGGCCAAATCAGGATGTCTGCATCAAACCCTCTATAAAACCTCAATGTCAATATCGATTGTTATGGCCGATGCAGCCTCACCATAGCTTGTACACTGACGGGTTCTTCCTTCTTTGCCTCTATATTCCTTATCAAAGTTGGAGAAAGGAAAACTTAGGTTTTTGAGATCAAGCCTTACAATCTTGTGCATGTACAGGTTAAGCCACAGTTGTATCAACCACCAGGGGCCACTGATAGTATGCACTGGTTCATTCTTCAGTAATTGGGCAGCTACCTGGTACATCAGATGATAAGTGGCTCCTAGCAGATACTTTCCAAGAGGGATATCCTTACCTACTGCTAGATGCTCAGCCATAGTTTATGATTGTAAGTCAGACCACAAGATGACCCACAGAAGATGAATCTCTCAAGCCACATGTTCAGAAAGGCTACATATTCCCTTTCACTGGCGTTTGATTCGTCTCTAATATGGTTCAGAATGTAACTGGTCTATCCTATGCAATCTGATATCTTGGCTAATTTCTTGGATCTGGCACTTAAGTACTCATAAGGCTGCATTGATCCAGTAATTCTAAGGCCGGTCAACATGTAAGCATCGGCCAGAGTGATGGTCATTGGACCGTGACCAAATACAAAGGCATTCAGGGCATTGGAGCAGAAATAGTATGCAGAAATCAGGAGTGAATCATTCCTCTCCATCTCGGACAACGAGAGTGTCAAGCATTGATTTAAATCATAAAGCTCCCAATCTCCACCCTTTTTCTCAGACACCCTATGGAACCAATTTCTCCATCCCTTAGGCATTTTGGGCCAATTTCTGAAGGGAGTTTTGGTATTCCAAGAGGACAAATCCACTGCAGAATATTTGAAGGGGATTTTGTTGGTTTCTTGACGGATGAAATCAGATGGATCAGGATCACCCATAGGCCTAAGAAAATAAACATTGGAAGCAACAGCTGATGGAATCAAGATTTCGTTCCTCATTTCCTAGAAATCGGATAAAATAAATTTGAGGACAAAGGAAGTACAGGGTAGCGACTGACACTTTGAGAATGAGAACTTGAAAGCATACCTCGGGGACGTGGTCGTTGGTCGCCATTACCGCCGAGACAGGTTTGAACTTGAGGAAGACCGCTTGAATAAAAGTTTGATGGGGCGGAAGATTGCTAGGGTTGAGGCTTTGGCGATGGCGGCGTCGACTGTTAGGATTTGCTTGAGAAAGAAGGGGAAGGCAAACAGGCCAAGTGAGTCGAAAAAGATACTATTGGGATATTATATAAGACTCGGCCCGGGAAGTCAAGAGTCACGCGTATATCTTGGAGCAAAACGATTGCGGCGTGGTAAATAGATAAATAGGAATTTTGAAATAAAATCATTTTTATCCCAAAATTGGGGGGCATGTGTTTATACTAAAATTTGGAGAGAAGAACGCGGGAACTCGAAGCTTCCAAAATTGCGTCGATCAAGGACTCGATTGCATGAAGATTGATATCAGGTGATTCAGAGGAGACACTGGAATCGGCTCTCTTTAAATGACATCAGCAAGTAATGATAATGCGCTACGGTTGGCGTCGGGAGATGCATATCGTACTCTATAAAAAGGGAAAGTTTAGGGTCCAAGTTATCTTAAGATTATGAATGTTCTCTTTTATACCAAAGATTGTAATGAGTCGTACTCGAATAGGATTCATGTTTAGGCTCCGAGTATAAATATTGGACCCTGGCTATTGTAAAAAACAACCAATCAATCAAATACAAGTTACTTACTTTTTTCGGCCCCTTAGGAGTAGGAGTAGAGTAGATCTCGGCGAGTTCTTCAGCGAGCAGGGCTGCATCGGTCCGGCTGACCTCCGATTTGTCTGTAAGTACCGTCATGGCTTATACTTCTGTTCGTACGGCTGCATCGATCCGGTCGACCTCCACTGCGACTCTGGTATAAGCTAGTTATTGACTCTTGTCTAGTTCAAGTACGGCTGCATCGATCCGGTCGACCTCCACTGCTCGAACTAGATTAAGGCCAAGTTATTGGCTCTATCTAAGAGTGGCGTCCTTCGGATAGATTTATTAAGTTACCGATATTGCTTATTGTTTCCATTATTTATTTAATTACAGTGATATCACTTTGTCCGATTGAGATTGATCTAGATCGGCCTTATATCCTGTTTAACCCATCGTTTATTAATCTAAACTAATCTAATCTGCACCTTAAACGATAAGTTATGTTTTATCGGCTGTTTTATGTCAATCTTGATCGCGCATAGTATGCGGTTAAGGCATGCCTGGTCTTGAATAGATCTACCAGCTAACGAAAACTGTTCCATGGTCCGTTATCACGGCCTGTGTGCTTCTGCCTCACACCCCACTATTAGCACCGTGGAACGGAGACCGTTATTTGGTAGATTTGTTCCTGATAGGGCATGACCTTAACTGTGCGCTATGCATGAATCGGTTGTTTTAGCCGATATCGAGTGTTTTCACATATATAGTTCACGCCACGAGACCGTTGAAGTAAGGGTATGTTGAAGGATATATTAGCCCCATGATCTTATTATTATGTTACGGCCTGTATGATTCTACCTCATGCCTCACTAATATTAGTAATAAGTTAGAGTCGTCAAATATATTGTTGTTTCTACGGCCTGCATGATTTTACCTTATGCCCCACTGGTCATAGAGATAGATGAGATCTAATATGTTCATTAAATTTATCTCTATTAAATGGTTAAATGATGATGAGTTGTTTCTTTTATATAAAAAGATATTCGGTTACTTGCATTCATTGGCTTAGCATAAACTGATTAGCGTTGACATCCTATTGCCATTGACTAATATTTGTCTAAATAATGATACTCATCCTGAATGATAACCCATTTTTTCTTCCATAATTTCATAAGCTTTAATTGATTTATTCTTATGAGTACGTTGGAATCGGCTATTTAGTCGATCTCCTTCCACATCGGCTCTCAGAGCCACACATTCGGAACTGTTTGGCAACACCGGCATGTTCTGCTTAAAATTACTGATAAACTTTCTCTCCTTGTCAATTGTAGGGTTAAATTGACTGGAACGTCTCGGGAGGAGTACGTAGGATCGACCATCCCTGCGTTGAAGCCAGGCGAATCTACAGCTCTATCGAGCAGATCCTTTCGGCTTGCTTGTGTGCCCGGCACGAGATGAATTTTCATGCCGACGCTGTGTCAAGCCTTTTGAGGCTCATGAACTCCAAGTTACACTTGTTGAGTACGACACGTACTTATACTTGTTTATTTTTATTATTTGGATAAAAATTCTAGATGGGTAACAGATTGCAATGGTAATGATGACTTTTCTGAGGATTACTAGACTTGTGGTCAACCAGTTGACATCCCTGGGATATAGAGCTTTCACGAGGGATTTTTCTTTCTACTTTCGCTATATTTATGTGAAGACTCTGTCTTATTATACGTGATGTAATAAACACTTACGATGATACTATCTATAATTTATCGACTTATGTGTGCGACTGATCTCTGAGTGCACATAAGATTATACATCCCATTTTATCCTTAAAATCGGGTGTGACATACCTGAAGGAGCACGCGTCCGTGAACCACGCTGTACGAGAATGCTCGCTCGGAAGATTGGTTGGTTGTGGGCCGCACCTCACGCATGGGCCGAATTGTCGTATCATCCTATTGCGCTCGTGGTGGGGGGTGGGGGTGGCGGCGGGCGACTCCCGTCTGACTGGTCGGCAAGGATGGTTTCTGGTATTGTACTCTGTCCGTTCCTAAATATCCGTCGTTTTTTTTCATGAAAAACAAAATTAACTAAATATATATTAAAAAATTAATATTTATGGTACATAATTAATATCATTATAAAGAACTTTGAATCTAATTTTTTAATAAATTTATTTAGAAATATAAATGTGTACGTATTTTCAACAAATCAAGTCAAACTTGTGGCAGGCACACCAATAACGACAGATATTTAGAGACTAAAAGAGTAGATTTATAGTGCACAAGACATTACATTTGGAAGCTCATTTGGAAGCTCGTTGTCAGTAAAAAAAGTTACAAAGGTGCCAAAGAGCCTTAGGGGTTGTTTGGGACTGCTCTGCTTCATATTTTTTTAGCCAAACGGTTTTAGCTCCACGCACTTTGTTCGAGAAAAAAGGTTGAAGTTGTGAGAATACCTAAAGAGGTGCTTCACAAACTCCAGTTTTTTATGGAGCTGCTCCACGGTGGAGTTTGTAGAGCAATCCCAAACACCCCCTCAGTGCAAATTACAAACACACGATTTCTCTGTTCACGCAACAAACAACTACTGTTGGGGTTGCACGGGCATGGTGGTGGCACTGCCGCCCCAGCACTACTGCTGGCGTTGCACTGCGGCGGCGGTGACCTGCTGCTGCAGCAGCTGCTGCTGGTGCCGCTGTTGGATCTCCTGCTCCTGCAACACTCTGCGGATGTACGAGGCGCAACACTGCGGGTCCACGGCCTTGTTCCGGTGCATCTCCACAAACCTGGCCTCCAGCCTCTCCCCGCTCTCATTGAGGACATCGTCCCCGATCTCGGAGGCGCGGCTGATGAAGAACTTGGCAACGCCCTTGAACTCTCCCCATTGCTTCAGCCGCAGCATCGACCTCAGGAACGTCGCGTACCCGGCCTCGTATGTGCCAGGTCCGCCACCAGCGCACACACGTCGATCTGGCCCTCCCACACCCGACACAGCCGCAGAAACCGATGCTCAATGGGGTGGAACGCCGCCGGAAAGTTGGGCCGCGTCCTGTAGCCAAGGTACGCGATCGCCACGCGGTCGTGCACCAGCGCCGCCGCGTGCAGGTCCGGGTCTCCGGGAACAGCCAGATGGTGCGGCACGAGCCCCGCTCTGGGTCCACCAGCACATGCGCGCCATCCACCCGCCGCCGCTCGGGCCTCGTGTCACCTCGGTATACAGGAGACGTGGCGGACGCGGCACGCCGCCGCTGCCTGGCAAGGCTGGCAGCTGAGGCGCGGCGGGTGGTCTCCCGCCGTGGCCATGGGCTGCAGCCCAGCCTGCAGCAGTGCCAGCACGAGGACCAGGAGCACCGAAGATCGGCAACCTCTGTGAAGGGCTTATATCATAGATTCACAGACGTCGCTGAGTTGAATAGAATCGGCAACCTCTGTCTGACTTCTGTTGGAAAAAAGCGAGGAAACGGTCGTCTGTTTGGAGTTGGACCCGCTTGTTATCCGATTCTTGTGAAAAGAGCGAGGAAACTGCCCAACTGACCCGCTTTTGATGCCCGATCAAACGACCCGCTTTGGATGCAACACTCGATCTAGTTTTGAAACATCTTGATACAATAATTATAACATACGTCTGAAAACAAATAAAATATTTGAAACATACGTCTAAAACACTTATAAAATCATCTGAAAACACTTGAATTCATTATAAACATGCCTACAGTTGCTAGACCGGTTGGTCAAGCCTCTAGATTGCGTCCCCGTGACCAGAGTTCAAATCTTTGGTTCCACGAATTTACGATCGGCGGTGTGAAAAAAAAACCTCACCTGTCCCACGTTTCCAAAGCACAGGTAAAAGGACTAGCCCTCTCACCGGGCAACGGGCCTTGTGTGCGGACGGGGCATGGGGTTCCAGGGTTTTCTCGGTCTAAGGTGAGAAGTCTTCTACCTTAAGCTAAAATAGCTCGAGGATGTCTACCCCGCGGCCCGAGTTTTTTTAAAACATACGCAATATCCAGATAAAACACTTGCATCATATGTTTGAAAACATATGCAACATCCAGATAAACACACTTGCAACATACGTCGAAAAAAAAATAGATGAAACGTTGAGAACAGGAGCTTGCAATATACGTGTACAACCATTGCAACATCCCGATCTACTTTTGCAACATCCGTATGAAACAATTACAACATACCTCTTGAATATTTGGAACATTTGAAGCAGACGCTTGCAACATGCGTTTTTTATCCTTCTTCCGTACGACACAGCGCAGAGAAGGGGATGGCCGGTTCCGGCCAACCGGTAGCCGAGGACGGTGGCGCGGCCTGGCAGTGGCCAGTTGCGCCTACGCCTGGCCTGGGCCAGGCGCGGCGAAGGACGAAGCATGGCGGGGATACGAAGGTGTCGCTACACTCACCGAGTACGCGCATGGAGCTTAGAGGCGGAGGGCGAGGCACCGGCGGCCGGGTCTGGCGGTAGCTGCAGTCAGTGGGGCGGCTGGCAGCGTACCTCACGCGGAGGATTCCTCCTCTTCGCAGGAGACGGAGGTGCCACGGGGATGGCGGCGGCGGCACACCAGAGTGGTGGCAGCGCAGGATGGAGGCGGTGGCGCTGCAGATTGGGACAGTCGAACGGCCACATGGCGCCGTGAAACCGTGACGCACGCGCGAAGAGTGGGGAGACGAGCTTATGTGGGGATTTGATTTTTTTTTTCTTTTTAGACAAACGACCCATGCGGTGATGAGTGAATGGGAGACGTCTGGCCTTCCAGACGTCGGTAGCGTTTCGGAATCGTCCGAGGAGCACAAGGCGGGGAGCGTCTCCGAGCGGCCGCACGGAGCTTGTTCAGGTAAGTTCTTCTAGTCGAGTCAGCTCTCCTTTTTCCGCACAAATTATAATCCACTTGCTAAGCAAGTGTCGTCGCATTTTCTGAACTAGCATCAGCCTAATAGCCGCATTTTGTTTAAAAATAGTAGTAATTGTCTAGAACATCACTGAGCAGGACAGGCTTGAAAATGAGCTTGTCAGGTGCACCTGAATTATATGCACCTAAACTCGTACATGAAAACCATCCGAAGGCTTCAGCGTTTTGCGGAGACCGCCAGTCTCTGTACACGCATAGCGACACCTCACCTCGTACATGAAAACCATCCGAAGGCTTCAGCGTTTGGCGGACACCGCCAGTCTCTGTACACGCATAGCGAGCAGCTCTCTGACGACTATCTCCGGTTCGGGCAGGCGTTGGCAAAGTGGGAAGGGTCGCCGCAGGTGAAGCAGCAGGCAGGCACGGTGTCGCCCGTCGCTGAAACGAACATCCCGCCTTCAGCGTTACACCTCCGGTTCGGGCAGGCGTTGGCAAAGTGGGAAGGATCGCCGCAGGTAAAGCAGCAGCCGGATACGGTGTCGCCCGTCGCTGAAACGAACATCTCGCCGTCAGCGTTACGGCCTCTGCCCCTCCGGCCTCGCGCTTGGGCGCCGCCTCTCTGTCCAGCAGATGCAGATGACGCCTGCCTGCCGCTACCGCGCCCGCGGCGGCCTCTCCCCGTACCATTGTCCAATTCGTCTTCCCATCTGGTCCACAAAAATTCAGGTGAAATAAGGGACAAGTCGATCTAGGAATCTTACATGACGTAGTAAGCTAAGGCTACTAGCACGAAATGAAAATGGCTCTCTAAAAAAATGTAAACCCAACAACTTAAAGAAAAGTGTGAGTAAATACATGAATTATTTGCTCAGAGTATATAACATGTACAAAAGCAAGTTATGCCACCCTCGCCGAACCAACACGCATAGCACGGGTTCAACTGTATAGATAAACTAAATCTCTTCTCCATGATACCAGATGAATATGCACGGCCGTAGCTTTGATAAGTGAAGTACCTGACAAGGACCATAGCTCAGAACCAAATTCCTGTCATCCCCAGTCACATCAATTACAAATGCATCTTTTAACAACGTTGTTTGAAACCTTGTGAAGGAGGCACCAATGCGAAGGTCAATTTCCTGTACAGAGTTTCTTATTATTTATCTTAGCTTATCAAGAAAGTAAGAATAAACCGGCAAATGCTCATACATTTGACACAACAAAATTGGCAAGAGAAATATACTAGCAAATCTGCTGCTTTTAGATTTATTTGATTGGATCATCAAGCTACAGGTATTAGAGGAAACATGCAGTAAAAAGATCTTCATGGAGCTCAATCTCATGGAGAACCGGAGCATTTTACATTGGTTCATAGTAGAAAGTTGTGATTCAAGTATGTGAAACATCAGCAGCAATATTAAAATCCAGTGACAACTCAAATTACCTGCCTTGCATCCACAGCATCCGCAAAGAGCTTGTTGGGCCTGCCAAGATGTTGCACAGATTCATGTATTTCCCTGCAGTTTCATAATATTTTTAGAAAATCCTTGTAATAGGTAGAGGGAAAGAGACCATTACCATCCAGAAAAATCAATACCTGTCAATCAAAGCTGAGAAGCGAGCCCTCCAAATGTTAAGATGCCTGTTCGCACCTGTACAAACCTCGATCACTTCATATGCTATGTTCTCACCCTCTCTATCACAATCAAGCCATAGCACCAGCCACTGGCATCTCCTAGCTTCTTCTTCCAAAGTTTGTTTTATGGGCTGCTTGTCCTGCATATTGAAGGGACCAATTCAAGAATAGTTCTCAACTGCAATAACATCCATGAAGTTCATGCCACAATCTTTATCTATGAGAAAATAATCTCAATATATGCAAAACATCACAGCCGAAGATAGACAATTGAACATGCCAGTCAACTCATGATTGCATGTTCATGAACAGATTCATCCATACAGGGAGAGAGGATTTTACAAGAAAGAAGTACTAAAATGACTGTTTGTGTCATCATGAAGAACACCAAGCAAGCATTATGTTAGCATCGAATCCATGGCAACATATTGGTGGAGGTGGCCAACTATGCTATTAGCTACATGAATGATGCAAATCATTTGACCTAAAGCATCCAGTTGTTTTTCTCCTTGTTAGCATAAATATTTATCTGCATGCAGTGCAGTTGTTGCTAGTTACGAGGATATCATTCTAGACTAAAACCCTGCAAGGACTGCATATCAAATGATTGTGTTCAATAAACTTTGATCTCTATGTAACTGGTTTAAACAAAGCCAGATGATTGATTGCCAAATGGGCTGATCTGCACTTTTCATGCAACCATCATGATATGCCTGCAATTACAAGTTTAGCATTTAAGAGCCTATTTGCTTGTGATCCAGGCAGCTTTGCCTGGCGCAGAATGCATTCCCAGGTGCCCGATTTTTGATGCCTAGGGCTGGGGTGCATGCCTGGTGGGCAAGCTGCCTGGCAACCACCAAGCAAACGGCCCCTAAGTGTCCCTCTCCTAATGGGACAACGACTCCAAATATCAGAGATCATTTAGGGCTCGTTTGCTTGGAGGCCTGACAGGCAAGCTGCTGCCCATGGCCTGGCAGCCATGGTAGCTCCAAGCATCCGAAATCGGACGCCTCAGGGCACTGCTTGCGCCAGGCAAAACGCTGCCTGAAGGCCAACCAAACAGCCCAGTGCGCCAGGCACACGATATTGTACACAGCGAAACACACGCCCACTGTTCAGCGGGATTCCCACACCAGCACATCCATGAGTGCGAAGCACAAGTGCACAACAATAGTATAGATGCCGACCATGTAAAATATCATCACAACCGATAGGAACCCACGCACCAACCAATCAAACCCGAACCGCCTTACGCAGGCCTCAGAGACGCGCCCACCATCTCTTCGGCGAAATGCTCCTGCGGAACGGAGAGAACGAGCAGCATACCTGGAGCACGGACTTGCGGACGGGGGCGTGGAAGAGCTCGGCGGGGTCGCAGGAGTGCCAGCGGCGGAAGCGGTCATCGAATTCGAGCTCCATGAGGTGGCCCGTGACGGAGGTGACGAGCATGTGGCAGGAGCGGCCGTTGATGGCGTAGTTGAACTCGAAGATGCGGTTGTACTGGGACCGGCCCGCCCGCGACTGCATTGAGCGGTGCGACAGGATCTCCGCCACGGCCTTCGCCACCGACGGCTTCTCTGCCACGTTCAGCACGCGGATCGCGCCGCCGCCGCCGGGCTGCATCGGGAGAGGGGGGTGGCGCGGCGGGGTGAGGGGTGGGGAAACGGGGAACCGGTAGCGGGAGGTTTTGGAATGGTTTTGAAAATTCCAGTTTGGCGAAGCGGGGTCGCTTACGCGCAGTCTCTCTCTACGTTTTTTTACCGGTACAATTTGGACTTACACAGCTCACAGGCTCTACATGCACATCATATGCATGTGTGTTCGTACACACGCAAAAAAAAAAACGGGAGGCACATCGTCTCCCGTGCGTGGAAAATGCACAGTGTATCCTAAAATTTTCTGAAAAAATTCTAAAAAAGGTGCAATTACTAAAGTTTGAATCTTGGTGGATAACGTCTCAGACAGCTCTACCACTTACCACAGGCCCACTCACCTCTCTCTACGTATATAGGTGGGCTGGGCTTTGAAATTTAACGGCCCATGTAGAAAATTCAAAAACGTTTAGAAGTCCGGCTAATTTTGATTTAGCTCTAGTAAAATAGCAAAAATATATCCAAAAAAATCTAAAGAAAATCCCAAACATTCTAATTGATGTTTAAATACATCTTTAAATTTTACATGATAAAAATATAAGATGCAATCAACATGAATACATTGAGCATTAATGTATGTCATATCCATTTTGCTTGCATCTCATATTTTGTCATGGAAAGTTTTTATAAAACACAGTTAGATACTGATTCGAATGTTTTAGAATTTTAAATAACTTCAGATATTTTTTCCATTTTTGTTAGTGCTAAATCTAATTCTTGAAAGTTTTTAGAGATATGTCACAAGCTCTAAATAGTTTGTTTGGCTTTGTCGTGTCTGAATCCATCTCTAGGATTTTTATTGAAATTTTATAAGTTTAGAAACAACTTATGTTGTTTAAAATCTAATCAAGTATCTACCAGTTCTAAAGTAAAAAAGGATGGAACTACTTTCAAAACCACTTTCGATCCAAAGGTGGAGAGGTAATTCAAAAAGTTCCAAGAGTTTAGGTTAAGGTTATGTTTGGTTAAAGAGCAGGATAAGGACAAGTGTTATGTTTGGTTAAAGGACCGGACAAGAACAAGTGTTTTGTTAGAGACAGGTGAGATGAAGTCATCCCTATATGAGAATATATATTTTTTGAAATGAATCAGGCAAGAGAGCTGCCGATTATATTAAAAAGAAGAAAACCGAGGCACAACTCAGAAAACAAACTCAATAAAAAGAAAAAAAAACAATTCTGGTCGGTCGGATTGGGACATCGACACGAACCGCACAAAGCTGAAGCACAACTCAGAAAAAAGAACCACCACCAACTCCAACCCACCAACCAGTCACCACACCACACTGCCAAAACCCCGGACGACAAGGACGTCAAGACGAAAACGCCGTCATCACTGCTTGCATCGTCGTCACCGACGATGACCCACACCGAGCTCGCCTACTGCCAAGCAGGGCTAGCCGTCGTAGATCGTTGCAAGCCGCGTAGCCCTCCCGCAATCGGATCCGCTTGCGCCGCCTGTCAAGACGATGTACCACACCAGACTAGCCACTGCCAAGCAGGGCTAGCCGCCATAGTCCGCTGCAAGCTGCCAAACCAATGCATGAGCAGCTGCCTCTGGCGCTCACCAAGTCGATCCCGTCCACCGCGATCCAGGCGCGTACACTTCAGCTTCCAGCAACCTAGCTGCCTCATCGAAGATAGAAATGCCACAAGGATCCTTCAACTGCCAGTCAGAGAACCTCCTTACGGCGAAACGGCCGCCGCTGAGTGGGACCACCCGCCATCAAACCATACAGGTCACCTCGGCAACGCACTGCTGGCCACCACCTCCCACGCCGGCCTCCTCGCCATCTTCGTGGGCGCAACTAGCGCACGGTCTCTCCAAAATCGTCGCCCTCCACCAAGCAGATGCCAAGCCCTCCCATCGCTGTGTGAACGCCCTCTTTCTGGCCACCTTCCGACGCCATTAACACTAGACACCGAATCCTCAACTAGGACTCCACCTTGTCGGCAACTGCCACGCCTGGCATAGCAAGAGCTTCCTAGCAACGCCTCCAACGAGGGGAACAACGCCACAGGCGCCGCCGTCGCCTAACCAGAAGGTCAAGGTTTTACACTCAGGAAGAAAGTGCCATGCAAGGAGAGAGAGCAGATCGATGGACGCTTCCAAAGAAGTAAACGGCACCCGGAGGCGTCGCCATCATCAGCCCGAAGATGGGCAAAGCTTTTGCCAAAGCCCCCACCCCTGCATGGACCTCGTTGCTGCCATTGCCAAGCGTGACTTGTCGCCCTACCTTGCCAACAGAGCGCTACACAAGGCCGAAGCCGCGAGTCAGGCCCCAGGCCGCCGAAGTCCAGGGCAGCAAGGCAGCGTCAGCCGACACCACCAGTCGTCGCGCCCCACTGCCGCCAAGCTGCACAACGCAGCCTCAACGCGCCGCCGCTAGTCCGTACCTCCGATGTCCGTCGTCTCTAGGGTCTGTTAAATTTGGTATTAAAGCCGGCTGATAAGCCGGCTGAAGCTGTTTTGTTGTGAGAGAAAAACACTGTAGATTCTAGCTAATAAACCGGCTGATAGATTCGGAACATGTGGCACCGGGAAAATGTAGGACAAACTCATCCCTCTCTCACGTCATTTCTCTCAGTTTCTTGCGCGTCCTCTTGGTTCTCCATCATGGAGGATAGACCATGCGGCGGTGCGTGCCCCATTCCTCCCCATCCCCGGTTCATCGCCTCGCACGAGCAGGGTAAGGCGGTAGTGCGATGTGGGTGGAGGAGGGCGGCGTGACGAAGCAGGCAAGTGAGTCACGATGGACTAGGCAGGAACTATTCACCACAATCTGTTTAAGCACGCACCAGATGGAACCATCTCAATTCAAGAAAAACTAGAATGGAACTATCCTAATCTATTTTACCCTCAAATCAAATACATTCTAAGATGTCTTATTTTGGAGTTTTGAGGAGAAAAATCAGGTCACGAAGGAATGTAAAGGGGACCTTTTACTCTTTGATTTCTCACGCCGAAGGTGCTAGTGCAACCGAAGCAATGATGCTGATGACCTAGGCAAAAGCTCAAATCACGAACGTAGTCCACGTCCGAAAAAAAGGCCCCGTAACCGCGGATACGCGGTGTCAGTGGATCGAATTTGGCAGGCTTCACACGGAATCTGCGACGAAATAAGTAGGTTGACATTTGTAGAACCTTGCGAGGCACGCATCAGGGATGTTCGAATGAAAGACGATAGAACTGATGCAGAAGTTTGGTGGAATTGCTGTGGATTTTTTCAAAGGAAAAAAATTACAACACAGTAATCAATGATCTTATTTCTACTTCTGAAATACATTGTGCTTGTGCAACAGAGATCCTTCTGTGAACTTGTTCACGACGAGTTGAGCGACTCTGTATACAGCGGTCAACCTTGCGAATACTCGACATGGCAGAACTGTTAACGCGTCAAAACCTTGACCGCCAAGGAAACCAACACGGAAACCATAAACTCAATATATAGCCTCGAGTCCTAGTTTCGCGCCTCATTTGATACTGAAGTTCACAAGATACCACGATGTTCCAAAGAAAACAAGTTCTACCTCTGGTTCTCATTCTCATCCTGGCCCTGGCAACACAAGCCACCACCATCGCTGCATCCCGTGTCCCGAGAGAGAAATCATAGCAACAAAGAGGAAGCTCGGTGTCCTTGACATCCTCGATGCCTGGAGCGTCTGGCTGCACATTTGATCCCAACAATCCTGGAGAAAGATGCCAACACCCATGAGAATCTTCAGACATGTACAGTAGTTATTAATTTATCTTTTATTCATTTTTCCATTCACTCAATGTTTCTTTTTGCACTCCTCTGGAGCTCAGACTGAAGGGAACATATTTTGTTTCCTTTTTTAGCAGCAGTTTTGCTTAGTCTGCATGTAAAGCAACTGTAAGTTTTGTACATACAACATCCTGTATATCTTCAGTTGAGGGTTGTTAATATGACAGATGAAATATAATGATACCTTTTTTCAATTCCATTGACCATTTTCTACTGTCTCTGCTCTCACAAGCCTTTAACTCACAAGCAAGTAGTTAGGGTCGGCTCACATGATTTCCTCCAGGTTTTACAATTTGATTTCCTTACTCGATTTCACCAGTACCTGATCAAAAAGGCATAGTTTCAATTCAGAGTTTTTAGGATCATCAAAGTAGTGGAAATCATCACATAATAAATTAGTATGCAGTTCTGCATGTAACATTTCCTGATCAGGTACGATGCTAGGAAGTAGGAACCCCTATGCTGCTGTTTTTTGCACTAAAATAAACATCTCTAGATGAAGCTTATCAAGCAGAGAAATATCTGAAGGTGTGGTCACTGGTCAGCTGTGTATAAGTAACAAAGCAGTTTAGCATTGAGAAAAAATAACTAAAGGACATTCTTATCATAAACTTTTTTGTTTACTTGACCCCATTGGTCCTGTAATTTCCTAAGAAAGGGTTCAATTGAAATATAAGACGCAGGGTGAACAGTAGCTATATAGTCAATAACCATGTTTTTATTTCTTAAAAATCTTATTGCGAAATGGAATCTTTACAGCATAGTTGGAGCTCAGACATTACCACACTTTGCGCGGTCTCTCCCAAGTAATGGAGTTTCAGCAATCTCCCCGTCTTATGGATCTGTCCCTGAACTATTCTGGTGTAGATATTGTCAAGGGCGTCAAACCCAAGGATAGCACGACCTCGACTACGCAGTTCGTAGTCGCGATCCGTCTTCTCCGGCGAGGTTTTGCCCCTCTGCCGCAGGCTTAGGAAATGCAAGGGAGAGAGAGGTTTGTTTGGAACTGATTGCTTGCCTATTCTCAATCTCTGATTACAGCCTATATGGCCGGCGGCCCCTGACTACGGGAGTAACAAATCTCCTCAATCTTAGGAACAGAAATAGCAACTAACTTAAAATAGAAACTAATCTTATTATGCCTAATTCTAGCCACTATTGTTGACTTGGCCCTGTGGCTCCCTGGACGCGCTCTGCGCGCGCGC